ATGCTCTGTGAAGGACTGGCTCCACTGTTTGTGTATTATGATCCCGGCCGGCTGAGAGATACCATCAGCCAGGCATGAACTCAGGACAAAGGGAGAAAGGTGGCGACTGGTTAGGGAAAGTGAGATGCCCGGGAGTCTCTCAGTGTCACCACGTATTAGTCAAGGAAATGGAAGTGGAACAAATGAAGTGGGCCCACAGAGTGAAAACTACTTGTTTATGTAAAACTGGCTCCTAATAAGCAGACATGCAGATTGTTTTTGAATAAACATAAACAAGGCGACTCTGGGAATGACACAAATAAGGACTCGCAGCATTTTAATGGCTGAATTATCCTGATTTTTTTATGCACGGAGTAATGCGTCCCTTTGGTTCCGGGATTAAGTATGACACACACACACACACACACACACACACACAGCTGGGACCAGACTGAAGATGTTGCTGGGAGCATGTTCCGCTTGTCTAGCAGGGTTCGTCTGTGTCTGGCCCTCAGCCAGCCCTCACAGCCCCCGCACGCCGCCATGTCACATCACACAAGCATTTCCCCAAAGCTGCGTTCGCATCAGACGGACGCGCTCCCGAAGCTATACCCGTCCACCCTCAGCCCACAGCCCACGCCATGTCACCCGCTATGTACACAGCTGCCTCGCGAGGATCCCTAAGACAAACAAACAGAGTTCTGTAAAATCCCCACTCGAATGGAGAGCCACGGAGACATCCGGCCCTCGGTCGAGCCCAGCCGGACCAATCGAGTTCTCCCGAGCTGCTTGGATCCGGAGCCACTTGTAGCTGGCACCGCCTGGCTCCCATCGGGCCCTTTTCACAGACTCCGCCAAGGCGGAACAATGGGCCAAAGCGGGGAGAAATCACACCACAGGGACCCGTGCCAGACAGACCAAAAGAGAGACAAGAGAAAGAAAGAGAAAGAGAGAGGGATAAGTGAGCGTCGGCACTGGTATATCTCTTCCTGACGCCTTTATAGAGGCTACGTTAGAGACATATTAAAGGACATGATTAAAGGGGCATGTGAAAGCTGCTCCACCTTGAGGGCCATTGTCAGGGCTTTGTGGTGCTCTGTCAGCAGCCACTGGCAAGAGCATGAAGGAAAGAGAGGCAACAAAGAAAACAGGTGGCTATAGGGACATGCTCGTGGAAGGGAGCTGAACGGTTGTTAGTATTCGCGAACGCGGAGAAGTGGCCGCATGTCATCGACATGACCGAGCAGTTATTGGATAATATCTCAAACGGAGTGTCATTCCAGGCTGCTCTGGGAAAGCGACTGAGCTCTTTGATGCCTGCCTAATGTGAGGGGACCCGGGAGTCCGAGTGTCTTTCTGATTTCTCTCTTTGTTAATCTCGCCTTCAGCAGGAGCACCATGGCCCTCACTCACACCCACAACCCCCCGCCCGTCAGCGTGGCTTTGTATGTATTGGTGGTATTCCATGCATCTGTGTTGGAATGTGAGTGTTTGTTATTTGTAGGTTTTTGCTTTCTATTTTATATCACTGTTGCAGTGTAATATGACACAGACGTTAGCGCTTTTTGTTTTCTTATTTCATTTTTCTTTGGTGATCAGAAATGTTCTCACTGTGTGCCAGACAAAAAGAGCTTTTGGAGTCAAATCTGACTCCAGCCTCTATGAGTCAGGTTTTTGTTTTGCTTTCAGCATAAAACGCTGCATCCGGAGCAGCAGACTGTTGTTTATGCATTCGTTTCTTCTGTTTTCTTGATCATTAATAAAGATGAGAAGGTCTGATTGTGAGAATCAAGAGACCACATAACGAAACCCATTCCCTAGTCTCCTCACTGAGCTTTTGTCACAATCCAGCAGGGAAATTGCTTGTCAAAAAGCATTTTTTGAAATTTGGATGCGAGGTTACCTATTTCTTAAGAATTTTCAATTCTAAATTTACATATTTTAGACTCTACACACAGACCAGACCAGTTTTCCATTTATTTACCCACTGATCTGAGATAGAAATGCATGTTCTGTTAATATTAATTAAGCTAATGAGTCTTTCTGAAGTCAAACTCAACCGCTGCGCTTCCATGGAATAATGTCACCATTAAGTCGGCTAAAATGCCGTCATTGAGCTGCAGAAGAGGAAATTAAACCATCAGTGAAGCACCATCACTGCACAGTAGGTGTAAAGCCAAGCTGCTATCTGTGTCGGTTTCTGTCACACTATTTATACTCCTCATACGTATATATGAACAGCTGTTAACAGAATATACAAAACAACATAACAATTCATCATGTATCTTATTTATTTAAACAATAAAACATTATCTGTATTTCAACCCGAGTCTCGAATAAAAGTCCGGGAAAGGGTGCGGGTGGAAATGTTATCTAAAATATATTAGGAGATAGCCGTGCAAGTCCTAAATGCATCGTCATATTTCATGATTTCTCCCTCTTTCTTTGTTTAGAGGATAACAGAAGGATACCCAGGGGAGTGATGTTTGAAGTGTCTCTGAAAAGCTATTGAAGAAAAAGTCCTGAAAGCCGCTCTTTTGAAACGGTGCTTTGGCTTTAAGTTGCACACGGTGCCAGGCTTCAATATATCTGATCATATGTTAAAAACAACAGCTGTGTAACATCCGTCGAGCCTCATCCTACACTGTACAACTAATCTGGTTAAAACTGTGGATGAATCTCGCTGTTTATATTTTGTGGAAATCTGCATCATGCAAAGTCACACTGCTTTGCATGCTTTTGCCAACTGCTGAAGCGGTTCCTATTCACAACAATCACCCCAATTGCACCGCCTCTCGAGTGAAATCTTGTCTTTTTATTTTCCTCTCTCTCACTTAATCAGGCATGTTGATTAAGGCTCTAATTTGTACCGGTGGAAAGGAGGAGTAGATGGAGTGTGTGTGTGTGTGTGTGTGTGTCTTGTACGTAATATCAGTCAGTCACTGCAGAGGATTACAGTGTCTTCAGAGAACATTTCTGTTTTACAGTACTTCATTAGGCTCCCTTTGATAACATTTCATTTTGTATTATTAGTTTCCATTTAATCGCAGCCCCTGTCTGAGCTGTTTGCAATGTTCGGCATGACGGCGAAAGCCTGTGGAGAGACAACTCCTCTAAGTGTAGAGCCGCGTAATTAAGCAATAAGCCACAAGAGGCTGAGCTTTACAGTGATTTTTGAACAGCTGCTGTGAGATGTGTTGTGAGGCATGACTTGTTAGCTGTACTTGAAATCAGTGTAAAGTACAACCTTTATTGATCTCCTGCCTTTGGAAAATAAGGTTTAAAAAGTAGAAGATTTAAATCTATTAATAAGAAGGAATTATTATTTAAATTCATATTATTTATTATAATCCTTTTGATACTATTTGTGGTTGTCAATAGCCATTCAATGTCTGTAACAACCTCTCTATATATTTTTCATTGTTAGAGGCGGAGTCCGCCATCCCCGCACAGGATTCAAACTGCCTACGTACACATGAATAAGACGCAGCATGTTATCTCACTAACGTCGCTATACTGTACACTTTCCAACGACGGTACCAGAGCTCTGAGATACTTCTAATGCAAAACACACGTGATCTGCTGCTGCGAGCACATTAAAAGTATTCAACCGGCAAAAAACACAAGGTTGCAGTCGCAGGTGAGGTCGGTGCTGAATACGACCGTTAATCAAAAATACACCAACAAGACAAGACAACGTGAGTTTGTTGGGCTGCACTGCAAACAGTTACACCACTTGCTCCTCTGTTTGTATTTGTTGTATTTGCTCAAGAAGCATTTTAGCAATGAAATATCATAAGTTATATATTTTCTTTGATCCATATGTAATATGATCGGACACATTTTTGTGAGTTTCAGAGCCTTTACACACCGAGGTTTTCTTTCCTTATTTGCTCGTCAATGTATTTTTTTTAAACTGTTTTTGTCGTAGATACTTAAACATAGAACGCAAATGTTACTAATATTTCTTTGAGAGGTTGGGTATTTGTAATTGTGACTTCCCATTCCCCCTCTGTGCACTCTTTGGAGACTAGACACTTAAATGAGCTGTTCACAACTGTATTCATTTCATGATGTATGTGTTCATTTATGCATATATTAATACATCAATTAGGGTTGGCTGACTGAGGTTTTAGGATATCATATGTTGGTTGAAAGCAGCAATTACCTAGATGCTCAATAGAGCCACCCGGTGATGCATTAATGGTCCGAGCCTGTCATCTTTTGTTCAGAGTCTGGCATAATTGAAATACCAGGCTTTTAAATTCCCATCAGCTGTCTCCGAGAAATGCTCGTCTCACACGCGCTCATTATGAGCTGGATCCCAGACAATATGCAGATAATAACGAAGGGCCGGTGTGACATCAAGTCACAGCTCTGCTGCAGAAATAGATGATGCCATCGTCATAGAAAGTGTCGGTGTTCAGATGAAGTATTTAATTGCATTGTTTTGCTTTTCTCTATTAGATTATAGCTCTTTGAATATTTTTTAGAGGAAATAAAGACAAAGAGTGCTCACGCTCTCCCTTAAAACAATAACAGGCTGATGTGTTCCTCCTCTCACTTAATGCCTCCACTGGATAGCATTTAGTGTCACTTGTGTGTAAATGGATTATGTTTTACAGAGACTGAAAGAGGATATTAGGGCTCACTAACAATCTCCCCTCCAACCAGCGTTTTGCATCGCCGGCCATCTGTTCGGCAAGACTAAAGTTTTAACAAGCATTTATCGAAAGACCGCTAATGACGTAGATCTGAATATTCCCTAGTGATACATACCAGATACAAGTATACCGTACGGCTAAGATTGTTGTCCAAGTACGATCCTTGAAATTACTTTCCTTTTTTTTCTTGAGTAGCATTTTCTCCTCCTCCTGGCAAATGGTAGATCTGTTTCCTGCTGATAATCTTATCATATTCAGATTTTAATCATCACTCTGTCCCCCCGCAAACCTTCATCTCATTCATTGATCAGCCCTGTGATACGATGCTAATCCACGTGGTCTTCTTCTTCTCTGCAGGGCTGAAGATCCGCGAGGTGATGATCAACGTGTCGCGTCAGCAGGTGGAGGACTTCCACGGCCCGGAGGACTACTGGTGCCTGTGCGTCGCCTGGAGTCACCTGGGAACCTCCAAGAGCCGCAAGGCAACTGTCCGCATCGCGTGTAAGCAGCATGTCACTTTGATACCAGAATGACCTTATATCATCCATGAAAAGGTTATTCTTCAAAACCGGTGGCGTGATTCTGTAGTCGCCATCATCTCTTAAAGTTGCATGCGAGCGGGACAAGGTCACACGTGAAAACACACTTCCTCCGTGTTGTTGCAGGTGTTCTTTAACACTGGTTGTTTATTCTCTTCCCCAGACCTGAGGAAGAACTTTGAGCAGGACCCCCAAGGCACCGAGATGCCTCTGAATGGCATGATAGTGTTGCACTGTCGTCCCCCAGAGGGAGTGCCTGTGGCTGAGGTGAGGGCTTCTTGCACTTCAAACAAGTAACATTTTCTCCTGTGTTGCCTGGAGAGGAGCAGTCAGCCGTCTGGTTTTCCTCGCAGTGTAACTCTGTATTCACGGTACAATGTTGTGTTGCTCTCCAGCATCTGCACATCTCTGCACTTTTATTGGAAGCCAGAGCTTGCAGTTGATGAGCTGGAGATGCCATTTGTTTATTTCCTCACACTCGCTCTGTTCAAGGGGAGAGATTATTCATATACAGGGAGTAATATCTGTCCATCCATGTGCATCGCCATGTTCTCTGGTTGCTGTGTTCTCTGGTAAAAGGCTGTACGGCTATGACTTATTTAGATGTCATGTATTAATTTCACTCCCACTCTCGTTCCCCTCTCTCCCTCCTCTGTGTGTTTGTGTGTGTGTGTGTCTGAAAGAGAGAGCCCGTCAAAGCCATTTTAATTTTACTATGAATATAAAATGAGGCTCTTGCGGACGGTCCAGTTGAGTGGTGAGTGTTGTGCCGCGCTCTGATGTCGCGTGCCTTCATGTGCAGGCTCAGCAGGCATATATGTCAATATCAAAGCCTGTGTGTGCCCAAGCATCTGCAGCTTTGCATTTACTTAAAGGCACAGTCCATGATCCATTGGCAAACAAAGTGACAGCCCTACCAGCACATTTCAAAGCACAGCGACTGGAACCCCTGCTATTATTCCCAAAGGGATTAACGGGTCTTTACATACACTGACTAATACATTACTATTTATTATCATGCTAATAGTTAAAGCTTTGTTTACATCGGTGATGTTTGTTAACAGCAATAAAACCGAAAGTTGCCCTTACACACACACGTATAGCACACAACACGCGTTCTCACCTACTGGACATACTTATATAGTATAATATAGTTTAGGCGATGGGTGGGGCCTGTTTACTGGGTAGAGCGTGCGGGAGGCAGGAAATGACGCGGATTTCACCGTGGTCATGTGGCCCATTCGTAATTTGGTCTCTTGCAGTTCCTTTAACTTTCAGCGTTGGCGCTTACCGACAGAAATTCCCGAATCACGCCGTCTCTCCAGTTGGACGTTTTCGTTGGCGTCTCCGTGTGAATGAGCCGTCTTCTTCACCCTCAGACGTCGGTTGGTTTTGCAACAGTGGTGATAAAAACATCATCAATAGGCCATTAGTTCTCTGGACAATGAAGGGCTCTGTTCAAACGTGGGCTCAATTAGACAGTACACAGACATTGTGAAGGGGAGCTGACAGGTTAAAGTCTGTTTAATGTCCCTTTCAACTGTTTTGGACAAAAGGGGTTTAAAAGGGACTCATGTTTTATATCTTTAATTATGATCTTGAGAAACATAGATTGTTAAATTGTTTTACAAGTCAAACAGAATTACATTCAGCAGACTTTTCTATATTTGACATCGGAGACATTTCGGCAGGGCAACACTACTAAACATATTTCTTTAATCGATAGGACAGACTAAAGATTATTACTAATCCAACAGGTGTTTCTTATTCTTTATTCACACCCTTTCCCCGACACAAGGACAGACTGTTAGAAGAAAATGTAACCACTAACAACACTATGGACTTCAACACTAATCAACAACTTTCTGTCACAAAGACTGTATTCTAACAGTTCACTGAGGTTTGATTTATTGCAAGACTGTGTTACAATATTAAGCCGCACTATGGAGGCGTTATGTGTTTCCAGCACCATGTGTCGCTCTGCATGAGCTTGCACTGATAAATTAGTATATCTTTTTATATACAGTATTTGCTAATTGTTTTGTGGTTATGTGGTTTATGAGGACTGTTTTGTTTTGACTCTTTTATGAAGAGCACTAAGGCCTTGGAGTTACTAGATTACTGTACAGTGAAATAAGTCAAACGCATACATACACACCCTATCAGAGTTAGCCAGCTAGCTCACTTAATCCCAACTGATTGTGGGAGACATTCTGCATAATCCTGTTTTCCTGCCATTAATCTTAACTTCACGCATTTGCAGTAAAAGTAACACACATTTTGTTTCTTACCTAAATTGAAAGAGTTTTTTGCTGCAGAATCCGTAGCGAGGTACAATGTGATGCTGCGTCACAAGGTGTCATGACATGCAAACATCTAAAGTAAAAATACCCTTTGACTGAGAGTTATATCTTTGCTTTTCACTGGTTGTATTGTTATTTCTGTTTGAACAAATACACTGAAAACATCCCAAATCACAGTGTCATATCAGACTAATGTATAAACCATAGATATAAACCATGGATATAAAAAGTGCATGTAGTCAACGTGACGTCAGTGATTTGCGGACTACAGTTTTGACCTTTGTCCGTTTTTAGTGGCAGACATCTTCTTTTTTTTGTCAAACCAGAAGCTAAACGCTAAACAAGACAATTCTAGACGACTAAAATGTCAAAATAAACTTTCGTGAAGTGAAAACTGTCATATATTCAAGATGAAAGTCAGTACTAGTGTGTGAACATGTACCTGAAATGTATAGCACACATTTTCTCCAGCTGGCTGCACTGTAGTTTCTGTATTTCCATATTATTAAAATGTTCACCAAAAATGTAGATGACGGCTTTAAGACTCTTTAAAGATGACCATGGACTCCCTCCACAGCACACAACTGTGTGTGTGTGTGTGTATGTGTGTGTGTGGTGTGCGATGAATGATTCAGCTCTCACAAATGGAGCATCGATGTACCTCGATTCTCCCCATTGCATTGTGGTCATCAAATAGGCAACTCCTCATGCATTCATTAATGTGACCGGCTAACAAAGAGAATGGTAATAGTAAATAATGCAGGGACTAAATCCAGCTCCCTCTACTGTGACTTGCACCACTCACATCAAAAGTTGGGGATGTGGCTGTTCTCTTCTTTTCTTTTTTGGTGACTTTAGACACTGCTGAGAGGTTGAAGCCTTTATTGCAACCAGCACTGTGAAATTTGGCTCAGAGAGAGAGAGAGAAGCTGTAGCTCAGTTTGAGTTTAAGGAATTGAGGTCATGGTGCAGTGTGATCTGTTGAAAGGCATATTTTGAATAGCCATATTTATTTTGGTCTTGACATTTATTTGACTGTTTCATTTTGCTGCAAACGCACCCTGATGGAGATTAATACAATGGTTGCAATAATTGCTGAGTTGACCTGATGCAGATGAAACGAGTTCTGGCTCGCTGTTTTAAGACATAAACGCTGTACAGACGACTTTACGGCTTGAAATCCCCTCATGTCGCCGCTCTCTCCATGTTCTCAGAAGCAACACTAACAGTGAGAGGGGGGGGGGGACTTTATCCGCATCTCGCTGTAACTAAGCCACGCGGGGGTTTGCTGGGCTGCTGTGTAGGATGTTAATGAAAATCAAGAGAATGCCATATTATCTGTCCCAGCAGCGACAGAGGCAATAATCTGTGCACGCTGTTCGTCAGACCACAGAGAATGTATCATCGTCAAACAGCTTAAGCCTGCTGCAGTTTATTGGTGACAAGAGTCGAGAAGGCCAAATCTCTTCACTTGGCTCCACTTTTTATAGACAGGGAGCAGTTTACAAAACAGATTATGTGCACTGTGATGTTGAAGCCATTACATTAGTGGCTCTGTTTAGGGCAGGATAATCTCATAATCAGCCAAACTGAAATTAAAATTCCCTTTTGCCAAGATGAAGAAGTCGATATATACTGTATAGATACAGAAAAGCTCAGTGTTTGTTTTGACTTATTTTGTCAAAATGTATGTTCTCTATACATATATATATCGACTTCTTCATCTTGGCAAAAGGGAATTTTAATTTCAGTTTCTTTGAGGAAAAAGAAAAATGATTACTAGAAGGGAGCTGGATATGTATTCATATGAAGCTTAAATACAAAACGAATAAGAAGCTACAAACACACCACACCACGGTTAGCACCACTAAGCGAAAGCCGACTGGTGTTCGGTTTGATGATGTTTTGTAGTCTCATTTAGCCACTTGTTAACAACTGCCTTTTTAAGACGCATAAAAGCATCAAAATGAATGAGAAGTGTTCAGAAACATATTTCATTTGGTAGAACAAAGCATTAAAATCTCACAGAGTGTAGCAAATACTATAAACACCCACCCGCAGGCCTGAACACAATAAGTTAAAAAGACAGTTGTATTCTCTGTTGTAGAATGTGCATAATAACCACAGTGTTGTCCTGTATACTTTATGTCCTTATACAAAACTTTCAAAGTTCAGTTCGACTTGAAAACAATAAAAAAAAAGTCTGTGCTGAAGTCTAAATCCCCGGAGGATAAAGATCACGGCCATAATAATGACTGCATAATTAATGTTGCTCTAAGAAAACAATTAGGCCACCATCAGGGAACATAACTGTCACAGAAAATTGCAATTTTTTTATTTATTACTCAGGATTTTATAGCCTCACAAAGCGACAATACACATCTCAAACTCGGCTATCACTATGGAACATTAACATTTATTTTTTTAAATGACTAATGACTGATTAAGTGCAGGAGCTGAAAACACAACCAACCCGTTTGGGACAAGTTTGAAATGTCCAAAACTCGTTAAAACTCATTTATAGTACAGGTGTTTAGGTGTTGTACATATTAACTGAGGCGTGACTCTGGAACGACATGGTCTGCTTTCAGTCCTCATGTGTATGAAGTAAGTCATTTAGGGGTTATTTGGCACAACCAGGAAGGTGATTCTTTCATTCAAAACTGTCAAACCTTTATTATACAGCCTGCTCAGGATAACATGTAAGCAAATAGCTGTTTAGTCTTGTTCTAAACGAGGAAAGGGAGGCTGCCTTTTGTAAGTGTAAAAGTTTAGTGGTGGACATTAAAAAAAAAAAAGATCTCCAATAACTTTAGAAAAAAAACTGTTTTACAATCATTAGCCGCACATTAACCGCCCAAGTATTCTATACCAAGTGTAATTAATCATCAAGCCTCTCATCCAAAGTCATTTGAAGTACTTAAAATGTAATTATTCAGTGATGAACATAACATTTCCAGAGAC